AGTTTTCTTATTTCATTACTTATTTAATGCCCCCTAACCAACCTTTGGACCTTTCAAAGTCTGATTAAAATACCAACGGGTCATCTCAAACTTCAGCAGGTGCTTCTGCCCATTGATTTCTACTGGGAATAATGTATCTACTCTGGTTTTCATGGCTACAAGTATGCAAAAGCCACTGTAATAAGAGAGTGGTTCAATAAACTGAAGCAACCTCCACAAAAGCACTCTGCTCCAGAATTGCACTATGGCTTTGATCCCTGACTCACCTGAAGAATGAAGACACCTTTTTTGTTTCTTTATGTGCCCCAGACAGGACTGGTACATCAAGCAGCTGGCAAGTAATGTAAGCACGACTCACGTGGATGGGACAGGATAGGAGTTCTGGGAGAACATGGATCATGACAAGGAGGACAAGCAGATTAGCCTAACTTGATTGCAAGATACTTGTCGGGCAGATAGGAGAGTTATCAAAGCTGTTTCTGGGTCCATCACAGCTGATTCTCAAGGATGGCAGAGAGTTTTCCAGGGTCTGGACTAAACAATACAGTATGCAACTTCTACAGATCTTTCAGGGATCCTGACTGATTATTTTTCATTTGTTCCCTTTCCTAACAGCCCACACAGTGATTCCCCGAAAAGGTGCAAATGTAAAGACTGAACTCTGGTAAAAGCCTAAAATTGCATCTGCAGAAACTGCTTCCACGTGCTACTTTTCTGATGACGTTATAATGCAATGTTTGCAGCAATGTAATTTCATCATCTTATAAATATCAATTTACCATTGAAAGAGGAAGGAAAGAACATCAGACAGATGCAAACTTACCAAAAACAAGTTTATAGTTTAAACTGTGAAATTGCGTGCGCGCGTGTGTGTTGTAATTACGGTGCCTGCTAACAATTTCATACTGCCACACTGCACATATGGCTTCCAAGCTAGCTTTATCTGAATCTTTGTGAATCTATTCTCCATGCTATTAAACTGAGCACATTCCACATCGTTCAAAAGTAATTACACTTTTGTCTAGAGTGTAGGAGACTGCTCTCCCCAAACAATGAAATTCTCATTATTAGAGCTGGCACAGTAAAGGCACTGGTGTTCACAACACTGTGCATTGTATCATCACAATAACTTATCCTAAGCTTGATGCTCAAAGGTACACTGGAAATTAAAATTTCTCTAAAACCACTGTGAGGTTTTTTTGTTGTTTTTTTTTTTTTTTAAATATGCATTCTTTAGCTCAGTATAATTAGAGTCCTATTTGACTTTTTAAAAGGCTATATGCATTCAGATTTCCATTCTCCTCGGAAGGTCTGAATAATAGCTAAGTGCTCCAGCCGCTTGTTGTTCTGATCCACCACCATTCATATGCTGACAACTCCAGACCAACAGGTGAGGCGCAGGCCAGGATAAATGTGATAACAGAATTCAAATGAAGCATTAAACAACCTTTTATTTTGGACAAGGGAAGGAAAAGCACGAAGCAATGTGTTGGTAAGCTCTTTGACCAGTAGTACTGCTGTTCTTAATATTATTCCCAAGTTACACAGGAGTAACTTCATTCAAAACAGAAACTCAACTTCTTTTAGCATGAAGCAACAGCTACTGAACAGCACACCAATTTAAAACTATATTGAAAATTAATTCTAAATCCCACTGAAAGTGCAGGACAAACGTGGGATACCAGTACAGTCAGAGTCAACAGTCTGGAACAACTAGGGAGTCGCAAAATTGTAGCTTACCAGTTTGACCTTTTATTCATACTTTTTTTTTTTTTTTAATCCCATCCAGCATTTTACTGATACTCCATAGTTTAAAAAAAAGGTCTGATTTAAACACACCATGACTGTGGTATACTTTAATCAGTACTTTTAGCCTTTACATTTCTCATTTTCAGAATTTAGCACAGCCACCATTGGTGAGATCAGTGGTCTTGCGAGTTGCTAAAGCAGTCAAATAGAACATAAAGGCAAGCAAATAGAAACAAGTAAAATAAGCCTTTGTAACTTAGATGAGCTAACAACTACCTGTGCTATCCATATACTGTAGCCTTAATAGGTTTCTTCAAAAGAGCTATTGACTGATACTGTAATCCTCAAGTGTTTCTCTGTAAAGCTTATGGCCTGCTATGAATGTCCTAAGGGGACTCTCAGATATATTCTAGGTCAAATTATTTGCCTTTTATTTTCTACTGAGCAGTTGCTTTAAGTCTGATAAATTAGTGTTTCTATTCTTATCAGAAAAGAGTTTTTCCTACTTAAAGTAAGTATCCAGTTTCTTCTATCAAGAGAAAGAAGTTTGAGATAGTGACCCCTGCCTTGGTTGAAGCTGGTAGAGATCTCCAGAGGAGACCTGGCCTAATCCCCCTGTTCAAGTAGGGCCACTGAGAGCTAGCCAGGACCATGTGCAGATGACTTTTAAGTATCTCTAAGGAGGGAGACTCCACAGCCTCCCTAGGTAACCTGTTCCTACGCTCAGTCATCTTCACACAAAAAAGCATTTCCTGATGTTCACAGGGGTCGTTTGTGCCCACTGCATTAACCTTTCTCTGTCTGCACTTCCAACATCCTCAGAAATATCCTGTTCATTTTGATGGGAAGATGGGCTTTGCAGATTTTTGCCAATTTTGATTAGGTTTGAAGATGTCTTTATAGGAATATTGCCTGCCTCTTATAAAAACTTACCCAGAATTTTGAGCTGTCTCACTAAGATGGCAGCTGTTAAAACTTGGTAAAGTGCAATAGGGTAAATTTTCAAAAGTGTAAAAAGCTCTTGGAGCTCTTGGAGCTTTATCAATAAAACACTATCAGACCACACTCTATGGTGCTGTGTGCACACCTGGATCTACTTCCCAGAGATGATAAAACAACAGAATGTCAATTCAAACAGTATAAGAATGTCCTCTGCAATGTTATAAAGTGAATGCCCTTTGGGAATGATTTTTGTCACTGCAAAGCACACAAACTGAAGCCATCTGAATGTTATCCAGTGATTTCCTTCTGATAACTACATACCACAACAGCAGAGGGAGTGATTATGTGTATTTTAGTCATTTAGACTGATCACTTCTTTCCTTCTGAAGACACACATGCTACATCCTTTCTGAACTACCTAAGTGATGATTTTTGTAACACAGTCCTCACTAAAAGAGAGATATTACCAAAATGTTACTTTCGTACAGACTGGCAATATTCTTAAATATGTATGAAGACAAAACTAGTCCTTTACAACCCCCCAAATGCTGCCTCAGGTAAGCCTACAGTGTGTCACTGGTACAGCAAAACTATCTAAAACACCCCATGATTCAGTATCCTGTATTGTAAAAAGACAGAACACGCTGTTTTGACATGACATTAAATACAGCCTTCATAGCAGGAAGTTACACTAGATGATCAACCAAACCTCTTGTCCTTAAAAACTATAAATGAACAAAGAAGTTAGTTAAAATCAGTTAAAGAGCAGCTAAATATTTCAGTGAGGGAGGTGTAGCTGAAATACTCCTGCTGAGCTCCTTAGAAAACAGTATGTTTTTATTACATTAGGGTCTGATTCTACACTACTGGTGCCACCACAAGTTTATCTATTGACTTAAATGTTGTCAGAAACAATTCTTTATCTTCAAAACATTCTCTTAAAGTAAGCCAAAATACAGCTAAGCCCATACATTAGTTACATACCCTAACATCCCACTGGCTGGAACTGCCATATTAATGAATTTCATCTCCATAAAACATAAGATAAAGGATGAGAAATAAACAAGCATGGAAAAGATAATGACATTGTCCGCCCATGAGTAATTTCTCCAATGATGCTCTTTCTTCATGTAAAGTTGCAATAACACAAACTAAAATTACGTATTCCAAACCACTGAGCTTAAGCATCAACCCAAAAAAGGAAGGAAAATGGATCAGGATCAATGAGCTATTCTGTCCAGGAGAGCAGCTTCAGTGAATATCCAGTGACTTGGTCCTATGAGAAATAATAATCCCTAAGGCTTTTTACTTAGGGCTTGTTACATATGCATAATGAGCTGTAAGGGCTTAAATACCAATGTGGAGCTCTTGCAGGCTTTTATGAGAATACACTATCACCTATTTTGCAATGCCTTTTTAAAAGCCTTCAAATATGCAGGTCCACTCATTATCTTCACTTCTAGTGAAATTATCAGTGCCCTTGTCAAAGTGGGGAACTAACAGAAAAGTTACAGCCAATTTGTAAATAAGCAAGAGCTGTGCAAGCGTGCTCACAACAGAGCTTTGCCGAAGTGCCTCAGTCCTGGGGCTCCAATGCCTTTCCTTGCACCTTTCAACCTTTCTAAAAATGTATCAGTACTCCATGTGAAGGGCCCAAACACATAATAGTGACACTACAACATGGCATTGTTTTGTCTTCTTTAAGATACAGCCAGTTCTAGATTACTGAATGTAATGAATTAAGTGCTCAGCAGCAGTTGTAGAGTGGAAATCCACATATGAAAAAGTAGTATGTTCATTTAATTTCATAAGCACAGTAAATTTTATTGTTGGTATCTGTGACGTGAATTACACATCAGATGTAAGTTTTTAAATCATCAAAATTCCAAGTTTCTTTTTTTTTTTACCCTTTATACAGACTTTCATGCTTTACTGTCGCACAAACTTGGCATTAGGGTGATGCTTCAGACACCCTGCCAAACATGACTCTCACTTAGAGTGTTCCAAACCCATTTGCTGTTTGCTGAACACATACACTTCCAATTCACATCAGTGCAGCTAACAAATTTTAGCACCCTGAATGCCATCAGGCAAAGGTGAGGAAAAGTCTGCACTGCAAGTGATTTCGCATTTGTAGTGGAGGGTAGAGGCAGCCCAGCTAAGGTCAGAGCTTACATATTATTGTAATGTGTTCTGTACGTGTAGCTGTGCATTGTACACTCCACAAAGTACAGATCTGGATGCCAAACTACTGCAGAGGCAGAATTCAAAGAATGGATGTAAGCACAATAGACCATAAGCAAACCTACCATTGTGTTGTGCTGAGAAGTGGGAGTCCTATGGCCACAGTTCTCTTGCGTCAGCAGAGAAACTGGCTGAAATTCCTCAGAGTGAGGCTTGTTGGGAAAACTCACATGCAAGGGAAGGTGAAAGGCTGGGAGCCCGTCACTCTCCTCTTCTCCCACTTTCTGTCTGCTTGTCACCATGGCTACCTCTCCATCTGCTTCCCCATACGGAGAGGCTGGTCGCTTGGAAGACATCCTGGAAGGAACAAAAGAGGAGAAAATAATGAAACCTCCAAATAAATCCTTAATGCCGTCATTGTGTGGTTAGGGGCCATTGTAACAGAAATGCCTTTTTTGTGCTGGCAGAGAGCAGGAAACCATCCAAATACCACTGCAAAGCATACACAATTGGGAACAATGGCCAAGCAGGTAGCAACAGAACAGTGGCTTATTTGTTGTGAGAATAATACACTAATATAGCACTCTCTTGTATTCTGGCTTCTTAAACATGAAAATTCACCTAAGACTGCATAATGAAATGCAATTCCTTTAAAAAAATACCCATCTAGTTTTGCATTTGCAAGGGACTCTATGAAGATAGAATGTCTCCCGATACAAGCTATTGTCAACTTAGCTTTTAAGGAATAATCATCTGCATGCATTATCGACCACAACTGGTAGAAAAAAATAAAGTAAAATAAAATACAATACAATAAAAGAACTTGCTAGCAAGCCAAAACGTCTGTGTTTACAAAATTTCACCCATGTGAGCAACCGAGTGTTACAGTCATGTGGCAAGGATCTTTCCAGGTTTGCAGATCTGGTATAGTTAAGCAATTAAACATTTGGACATTAATAATCTAAGCTTTTTGACAACATAAAGTCAGTGTACTGACTGAATGAAGATCTGCTATCAAATCTTTCTATCTATATATCAGATTTGTCCTATCTATAGCCAGATCAAGAAAAAAAACCCAAAACATCAAAATGTAATTTACATCTATAACTACATAAAAAAGGATACACAAGGAAGATATATAGAGCACACATTGTAAAATCCACACAGAAATACTGACTTGAAATTCAGGTCTACATTGTGAAGTTTTTGATAATGTCTGATAACATCAGTCTGATAGGACATGCTTATCTTCAACTTTTAGAAACACTGGAAGAAACTTAAATAATGGGCAAATTCAAGTATCATTCAAGCCAAGCAGTACTGAAAATCTTACAGAACCCAGAATGTTCCCAGCTTGGTCTCCAAAATAGAGGGGGGTACAATGAAGCCTTAAAATGCAGACAAATTCTGGGATTAATTACAGCAATATTGTTCATGAAAATCAGGGTATGTCTACGGATGGCATAACAGAGCCCTGTGCTAACCAGGGGCATCTGCAAGGAGTGGAATGGGAAGAAATTCTACAGGCACAGCCAAAGAAAGAAATAAAAAATAGGGAAATGTTTCATAGGGGAAAAAAGTTATAAAGAAGGAAACCGAAGATTATTTGTATGCAAAAGTTTAAAAAAGGGTCTGAAGGAATATTGCATCTCCTTAAAAACCTCATATTTATGATTCTAATTACCTCATTTTTACTTTCCACTCCACAGTTAAAGGACTGCATTTCAAAAGCCCAGCAGCCTCTTGAACCATGTGTGGGGCTGCTGTGAGGTGGAGCATGTCCATACGATTTGGCATATTGAGCACGGAATGGTTCTTAGCAGCAGTCAACTGGGTCTGAAAACAAACTGTGACTTAAACAGCCCTTTGTTAAGACTTATTTTGCTTCTAATGATCTCATTTTGAGCCTTGCCTCCTGAGCCAAGCTAGGTTATATTAAAGAAAAAAAAAAGAAAAGAAAAAAAAGGAAAAACCAGAAAAAAACCAGAAAATCCAACAACAAAAACTCAGACAAAAAATCCCTACCAGAACCTATACGCAGCTGCACATTGCCTGTTCTGAACACCACCTATTGCCAGTGCTTAGAGAACCAATCTGTATTATTTTCTATTAATGTTTGACTTAGTCCAACAGACTAACACTTCATACATCCTACCTGAATTCTGTCTTCTAGGCTTTCCCACCTACGTGTCTGCAGCAAAGCATATGTACAAAGACAGAGATCACCAGATAGACTCTTACTGGCAGCTTTCTACTAGCCCACTGAATTCAGCAATTTACAGCTATGTTTGATGTGACAGATCTCAAGCCCTTCTGCAGAAAGCATACAACTCCCTTCTAAAGTTAATGTGAATTATTCATATTTTGCATTGTACTGCACCAAGATCGACATTTGCTATGGAATTTAAGTTTTTTGGCTACTCATTTTAACACTACTTAATAAAAGCTTGAGTATTTACAACCTCTCTCTGAAAATCAGCACTAAGTAGTTGTCTCAATTTTGGCAAACAAAAAGTGAGAGACACGAGATCATTAGTCAATTATTCCACAGTAATTTTCTATACTTGAGAGCATTTATATTTGATAAAATGACTGAAAATATTGTAAGCCATGCACAAAAGTCTCTACTGCAATTCACTCTGACAATAAATTACAGAGAGGGAGGATGCCTTGCTTTGTATTGATGATTTGGATTGCACATTTTACCCTCAAACAGTGTCAAGAATTCCTACTGCTGTTAACCTAGAATAACACCGATTCTGTCACATTGCTTCACAAGGAAAGTTTGAATATCTCGCTGAAATAAAGCTCTTCTGTTAACTTCATAAGCGAACATATAGTTTCAGATCATCATCTTCTGCTTGTCACTGCTCCCAACAGGGATGAAATAACTTTCTGCAGAGAATGTATATAAACAGACAAGGAAGATAATAGAGGTGTCCACCTCCATGCACTTGCAATAACAGAGATTATTTTGATTTTGATCTAAAATGAAAACCTATAGGTTGCATTGTAGACCAAACTAAAGTGAGAGTAGAAAGAGTAGAAGAAACTTTTCCCTTTGTCTCTAAAACATGCAGTTTAAATTACAAGCCACGTGTCCATCACCATCCTAGAAGATTACTAAAATGGCTAAGGCAGCAAAGTTGAGGCTTTAATCTGCATTAGTCTTCCAAGGACACTCAAAGAAATGGCTACACAAACTCAGACAACAAATACCATTTGTTTCCAGGCAGCTCTGTCCATAGCCAACCTGAGTCAGACAAAAATCAGTTTCACAGAAATTTCTTACTCCTTATGAACATCTGGGAAATTTCCATAAGAAAATGGAAGATTTAAATAAATAAATTAATAGGTCCATATCTACTTTTGGAAATGTCTTCAAAAAGGATAGTAACTAACAAAGCCTATAGTAGCAAAGAATCAAATCTCTGAGAGGTTCCCAAGTAGAAAACATGAAATAAGAAAAAGTTATCCATAAATATCTTTCATTATTTCTACAGTTTTATTGGCCCATTTCCCAAATTTGATATGCCCCCACATCATACATCCTCTAATTCTCTTCTTTTCACGTATCTTGTTTATCCTACTGATCTAATACCAGGTCTCAACAGATTCCATATCTAAAATGCAAGCAGAGTTCCCACCACAAACAATATGGAAACAGCTAAATTCTGAGTAACAACATTATCTGAAACTGAGCCCTTTTAAACAGATCTAGATCTAATGAAATATTGGAATTATCCCATCTTAATAAATGACTGCAAACATCCTGGATCAGTCATAACACAACAGTTTACAGCCCACGTGACTACAAGATCTTTTCCTCAATTTAAACTCGGAATGGTTTTCAATTACATCGCTCTGAAAGAAGATTTAAAATGGAACAGGAAACATCAATTTATGGATAGAATTTTAAAAAACCCCAAAATCCTAAGATGTAACTCGGAAAAGCAGCAAGACAGTGCACCAGATTCCGAACATAAAAGGTGTCACTGCAGATGAAATCTATTGCAACTTTATTGTTTCAAGAAGAATTGCATTTTGAAATGTCATTAATAATTTCTACTGGATAAAAATAGGTAGGTGGCAATTTTTTAGAGAACCTAAATCTGCAAAGTTCTGATGCTCTGGGACACAGGCAGTATCCAGGCCATTTCACAGACACATTGGAATTATGAAATGTATCTCTATATTTCATTTTATCAGTGGTTCAGATGGAACTGAAGATTTAGTTCAGGTGATGAATTCAAATTTGATACTGTTCTCCGTAAAGAGACCTGTTTTCAGAAAGGCTTCTTAATATGCAGAAACTGCACTTAAAAACCCAAACATTTTTTTTGTTAAATTTTCATTAAATAAATGCTTTTCCTGGTAGCAAGAATGTTTTTTCAAGGAAGTAAAAAACCTCATTGTTCTAACTCACTCTTACACAACAAATATTTTATGTGGTTCATATTACAACAGTTTCTCCAAGTATTTCTTTACTGCCCTTCAATTTGTAACAGAGGCTTCATAGGCTTAAATTGATACCCTGTGTCTATTGATCTCAGAGTTTTTGCATTGACTTCAGCATGGCTGGATTTTCCCAGTGGAGCAAGTAAGAGTTACACTATATCCACATGAATTGTTTCCTACACATATTGGTTCCATACAAATAATTTCAGGCTGCCAAATACGACTGTTTTTTCTTGTTTGTTTTTTCCCTTGAATACACTGTCTCACGAAAGTGATCTTTCCATGATCTTTCCACAGCTGTATTTTTTTTATTATTACTATTTTTAACAGAACCTCACTTAAGTGTCCCCCCCTACATCTCCATTTGTTCATTGGTTTCGGTTCATTTAATCCATGATTGTACTCCCAAAATAAATCCAAAGTGGTATTCCGTACTCAAGGAGATAGTGCCCTCTAGCACACAACCTGCATCCTTTCCGATTCGATTGTTCATGTCATAAAATTTAATAAATTTTGTGTCATAAAACTCTAATCTTGTTACATTAAGCAAAATACCTCTGAAACATTTTAGATACCTACAAAAGCTTTTGGAGCAGGGGCTTAGCCATGTCTTCAAAAGTGACAAACACAGATGTGTCAGGAGAAAAAGATATGAGGCCATAAATCTTAAGTTGTTGGGAGTTAATTAAGGGATTCATCAATCATTACACAGCTCACCCCATACACACACAGGCAAAATCCCTTCAGCCGCCACAACCCATGGCAATCTACAGGTTAAAAACTCCCAAATTCCCTCTGTCCTGACTATTTATAAATTATTTTGTATAATCTAGTATTAAGACCTGTAATTATAAAACAGCATTAAAACAGGCCTTCAAAGTTATGGATAATTATAGCTG